ACATAACCGAGTATTCATCATGATTTGGGAGCCCAAGATGCACCACCCAACCTCAGGGAGTGTAGGCAGAATCTATTGGCTTTCGAACGCCAATAGAATAGACTCTCTTGAATAGAGTCTATTCTATTGGCTTTCAAAAGCCAATAGAATAAGAGGGAGTAGCACAGCTCATGAAAAAGGGGAAAAAAACAAAAAAAAATATATGCCGGACTGCGTTTCATAAGGATTCTATGAGGAAAAACTCGAGGACTTTGGCGACCCCTGTGAAATGGTCGTTCGACCCCAAAAGGGGTCGCGACCCACAGGTTGAGAACCGCTGGTTTACGTTTTCCCACCCCACCTTCCTCTCATCATTACATGCCAGTGAAACTGCTTGAATAGAAACAAGGTTTGTATGAGTAGGTGTGTGCAGTCTGAGGTTAAAAAAAATATATCACCTGGTAAACAAGGGTGTGTCCTCCTGTACTTTAAACCGAGCAAAGGCAGTGGAAAGCTTCACCTCGTCTCAGCAGGAATGGTGCCGCTTCTACTATTTTCCACATACAGTGTTTCATCTGTTCTGAGCGGGAATTGGCTAATAGCACAAAGAATCCAAAAGGAAGTAGAACAAGGTTTAGGATGGATCTTAGAAGAATTCACGATGTGCACATCTCTTCTGATGTGGCAAATTCAATTCAGGAGCTGTTGGAGCAAATAATATCGGAACGCGATGCCTTACGTCAAGCCCTGGCATCTCTCACTGCTGGTTTAGCAAAACTTGAGAAACGCCTGGAAGAGACAGATCGCCGTGTGGGAGCTCTGGAAGGAAAGGTGGTGTCTACGCAAGGCTGCGTTGTCAAACATGCTACTTTAATGAAGGAGCTGGCAGTAGGAAAGTTGGTGGCTGACTACAAGCTGGAGACACTAGAAAACAAATTGCGAGCTCGGAACTTGAGGGTCACCGGTGTCCCAGCAGCCATTGGAAATGTGAACCTTATCCCCTTCATAGAAAATCTGTTGCCGGCCGCCTTAGATTTAAATGGCAAACAGGTTCCCATCTGTATAGAAAGTGCTTACCGTCTCCCAGCAAACAATGCCCAGGTGGGTAAGGGTAGTACTGTACTAATCACTCTTACTGATTTGCGGCATCGGGAAAGAATACTGAAGACATCCTGGACAACAAATTTCCATGGACACAAGGTATCCTTCTTTCCTGATCTCAGCCCACTGACATATGCCCGACGGAAACATTTTGTGGCTCTCAAGCAACAGTTCCTGAAGGAAGGAGTTCAAGCCTACATATTGTACCCTGCAAAGTTAAAGGTTCTCTACCAGGAGAAAACGTACATCTTTAAAGACATTCAATCTGCAGTTCACCTGCTGGATGAAATCCGAAAAGGTAGTTGGTAAATGGAGAAAAAAATGAGTACAGACTTTGAGGAGAAAGCTTTGCTCCTTTTGGGTATAGTATTGACAGGATGACTTTAGAAATCTTTGACTGTTATTTTGAAGTAAGGATAATGAATAGTAGCAGATTCAGTGGAATGCATGCAAATCATTCCGACAGTGACATCCTGAGACACTGGGGAAGGGTTATAATCTTGGAAGGCCTTCATCTTCCTCAGCACACATTGCATATGCCTGAATAGGCAAATACCAATATATGTCTCAGGGTCTTTGCTGAATGAAATAGAAGTATCTTGGTTCCTTTCGAGTTTGCTTCCTCAGCGATTAAAAGGTTGAGAGGGTATTTTTATACTCATTTGCAAGATTCTGCTATTGATACAGAGGTGAAAAGGGTGCTTCCAACTCTTGCAATCAGCTAGAAAATTACATCATTTACAAGAGAGGGTTTTTTTTTCATTGATACCCAACTGCTACCATATTTACAAAGGACTTTGAAATAGCATTATGCTAGCAAGAGATTTGTTTGCATTACTGTGTTTTCAAGCACACTGAACTCTTTAGAACATGGGTGTCAAACTCAACACGTCACGTGACGTGTCGCGACATATCACGACTCTTTGCATTGCCGGCAATGGGGTGGGCGCGGCTTCGGTATGATGAAACCAGCTCACGGGCCGGCAGTTTGACACCCCTGCTTTAGAAGTATATATCCTATGGTGCTTGAAAATAATGGACTGATGTTTCTTCTTCACATGCATACTCAGCAGATGGGCTTTGCCTAAGATAGATTTTATTAAATATTTACAATTAGTTTGCTATGATTTAAAAAAAATACATTTTCCTTATGACTGATAATTTCTTCAAAGATATATGGCCATTCCTGCAGTGTATTTTTCACCATTTGGTACCCATTTGTTATTATAGGGCTCAGCAGGAGTTGCTTTCAGAGAGAGTAGTATCCATCTTTGTAATGGCAATCTCACTTGTGGGATTTGGCAAATTCATCTTGGACAAGTGACAAAGTCACAAAGCTGCATATTCAACTTTTGTGTAGATTTAGATCAGTATGTTTAGGAGGTCCGGAAAATAATTCCTTCCCAATTGTAGTCATGACTGGTTATATTAATAATTAGTCTGATTGCTGTTTACATCTTTCCTGGCTGATTCTAAAAGGGTGGGAGAAGCACCTATGCTATTTTAAATCCACTGCTGTGCATCAATATGATGACTTCTGAAACATTTGAATAGAAAACCCCAATTATTGTGATGTCAGCTAAAAAATGGGGTATTTAAATGTTTACCTAAGGCAGTCTCACATATTGGAAACTGAATTATTTTCCCCAAAGGCACAGAAATAGCGGTTCCTTTGTAAGCACTTTGGATATCTATAATATATGCTGGGTGGGGTATTCTACAGCTTTCCTACCACTTTTTAAAGTGAAATTTGCTCTGTTAGTAAAAAGGCTTACTATGTTTTGTGATGGGAAAATACCACAGACTCCACTATTTATGCACGGAATCTAATTATCTTTTGTGTTTGTTTTACCACATAACCTGGATAAAGGCCTAATTTGACAAGTGGGATGTATCATTAACAAAGATTGAAAGAAAAACGCAGAGGAGCAGCAAAACCTGAAGGTTTAGAAGTAAAGGATGGGCAAAGGTTTGGCAAAACCTGATCTGATGTATAGCACCAATATGGGAGACATAGAATGCATTTTAATTCTGTACTGAGTAACTTTAGCAGGATTTTGTTTTACAATAGGAAACAATTGTAAAACAATAGGAAAGACAGATCTTTTTGAGCTTCACAGTGGGGTCTAACAGTTAAGTAGTTTAGAAAAAGGAAAAGTATAGAAAGTGGGAATCTTCCTTCCTGTGGGTATGGGTAGGTCTTAAACTGTAAATGAGACAAGGGAAGAGGTATAGCTGCTGTCTTATATTTAAGATCTATTTCATATACTTGTACTAAAATTGTTTTCACTGGCATGGCTATGCAGAAAGAAAGTATTGGGAATAAATAGTAGAATGCATTTATTTTTAATCAGCCAGTTGATAAAAACATCAACCATTATAGGGAAGAAGACAGTTTCTACAACTACCTTCTGATTATGAATTGGATCCTGCTAATACAAGTTCCGGGCTTTAGAGTTCATTTGTGCAAGGCGGATGGGACTATCCTACCTTCCAAAAGATTTATAACTTATACTTACTTGCTAAGGAGAAAGGTGGGATTTAATATTGGCAGCTGCTTTTGTCTATTGCCATTGATTACCTGGAAAAAGAACAGGCAGGTGGGAGAGATGAAATGACACAGGAGAGCTTTTAAAAACTATTTTTATCCTGACTTTTTCATATGCAACTCAAGGCAGCAAACATATCAATACTCTTTCCTTTGCCTATTTTCCCCACAACAACCCTGTGAGGTGGGTTGGGCTGAGAGAAAGTGACTAGCCCAAAGTCACCCACCTGGTTTTCCTGTCTAAGATGGGACTAGAAATTACGCTTCCCTGACCTTTACCACTATACCAAACTGGATCTAATTTATCGTTTGTAGTATACCCTCTACTTTCTACATCTTTAAAATGATATACTTAATTCTATAATGTTCTGCACGCAGTTTGATCCTTGTAGTAGCCCTTGGTTGCTGATCAGAATCAGCCAGTAATCTTAATGATTGAGTGTGGATTTTAATCTGGGTTTCTCCAATCATATTCCAACATTCTTAACTTCTTCATCACAGCAACCATGGTGATTGCCTATATTTTTCCAAAGCTGGTTATATTGGTATTGCTTAAAAAAGAAATTTGAATCTTAAATAGCAATTCAGTATGATACTGTTATTGAGCTGTACAAATAGTTTCAGTTCTTAACCCTAAATCACACTGTGCAGTGCTACCCACCATCTCCAACTTCAGTGGGTACAATGGAGCTTGGAAGATTTGAGCCCTGGTGCTAGGATATAAGTTAATATGGTTAACACTAAGCAAGATGAACGTGATGTCTGATTATCCTAATCTCTCAACAATAAACTTGATTTCTTGTATCAAATAAAGCCATAATTATTTCCCTCCCTCCTCAAAAAAGACATGATGGTTGAGGAGGAAAGAAAACATGTCTTGTACACAATTCACTTGCTTTCCAACATTCTTACGCACTACAGCAGCGATCCTGCAGTTTTGTGGTGCGTGCTATTTGTTGGCTCCTTGCCTTACCATAGCAAGCTGTCTGATCCTAGTGGATCTTTCTTTTTCTTTCAAATCCTTTCAGAAAAGATGACTATGACTTTGATCCGCAACAGGCTGGCGCTGCTGGTCCTAGGAATCCTTGTCACTTTTGTCCTCTACCTGTTGCTTCCTGCAATCCAGCATGAAAAATTTACTGCTTCAATAGACATCCCTAAACCACGGGCCATGGAGGAAGAGGCGAAGGGTACAGGTGCTGGGAATGTCACCATCATGACAGGGACAGTTTTGCACTCTTCTGTTTTCTTCAGAGAAGCTGTGCTGGTACAAAAAGATGTGGCTTCCTCCACTGAAAGGTAAGTTACCTTCCTGACTTTTGAGACTTCAAAGAGTTAAATCTTGTTCACATAATAAATAACACTCAAGCAACCTATCTATTCTAACAGTACACAGAAACATTAGCTTGAGTTTGGGCTGCTGGCTGCTTCTGATTGGTCTAAAGAGTGCCAAAAGTATGACAAATATTGGCTGATTTAGTTTTTAAAAGTGAATCTCTTGAATGGTTGATTTATTTTGCTCTAGTAAGAGTTGCAGTTTTGGTATTACTGTATTTCAATGAATAGGTGATGAAATATATATTTACTGATCTGTTTTCCTTGGCACTTCCTAAATGGATGTCATATTACTCATTTGATTCATAAGCTGCCCCTATTTGTATGACCGTGCAGTTTTCAAAAAATCTGATTATTATTGCTAACTAAATCCTGGATCCACAGAGAGAATACAGTTTATTTCTTCCAGAGTGCAGAGTAATTCAGCATTGGTAATCCATGGCTGAATCATGCTTGCTGATGCTGGAATTTTCTTTCTACTGTGCATTTGTTGTGCTAATCTGTGGCTTTCTTGGTGATAATATTATAAAATAAGAGGCAGGACTACTGCTCGGGCCAGTGGCAAAATGATCTGGCATTAGGGGAGATAGTTATTGAGCCCTTGTCATGGTCAGATCATTCTCTCCTAAGGATGGACTTCCGGACCGCCCCCCCTCGCCGCAGGGAGACGGAACCGCCTAGATGGTTCCGTCCCAGGCGACTGATGGACCCTGAGAGGTTCCTGACGGAGCTTGGGCCATATCCGGAG